TCTTTCTTTCTTTCTTTCTTTCTTTCTTTCTTTCTTTCTTTCTTTCTTTCTTTCTTTCTTTCTTTCTTTCTTTCCCTTATGTTGTTAATACTCACCCGAGGATATTTTTCCATTGACTGTTAGAGAGAGTGGAAGGGAAGGAGAGAGAGACACATTGAATGATTGCCTCCCACACACACCACACCAGGTAGGGGATTGAGCCTGCAAATGAGGTATGTGCCCTTGACTGGAACTGAACCTAGGACCCTTCCGTCCTCAGGCCAAGGCTCTATCCACTGAGCCAAACCAGCTAGGGAATTTTTTTTTTTTTAAGTATTTTTAGAAAGACAGAGGGGAGAAGGGTATATAGAGAGAAACACTGATTAGCTGCCTCCCGCATGCCCCTCACCCCCTGTCCCAACCAGGGAACAAGCCCACAACCCGGACATGTACCCTGACCTGGAATCGAACCAGTGATCTCTTGGTTCGTGGTTCAATGCACATTCACTGAGCAACACCAGATCGGCCAAAGTTTCCCTAAATCAAAAATTGTGTGTGTCACATAATTTTTCAAATAATCACTTTTTTAAATTAAAAAAAAAAAAGGGTTTATAGACATCTGGGCATGACTCACATAAGTTGGGAAACCATACTACTGTCTGTTGCCAATAATTCATGATGTCAATTTTACGATGAAATTTTAGATGAATTAGCCTTGACCAACTGGAAATGATAGCTATCTTTCAGTTTAGAGTCCTATGTCGAAGAGGCCAGATTCAACTAACTCAGCTCCAGCAATCGTCATGCCTGCTGTGGTGAGACTTGCACACTGAGTAGTTTTAAAAAACCCTAGGCAGCTGAAACCAGTTTGGCTCAGTGGTAGAGTGTCGGTCCCAGGTTCGATTCCGGTCAGGGGCATGTACATTGGTTGCGGGCACATCCCCGGTGGGGGGGGTGCAAGAGGCAGCTGGTCAATGTTTCTCTCTCATTGATGTTTCTAACTCTCTGTCTCTCTCCCTTCCTCTCTGTAAAAAATCAATAAAATATATTTTAAAAAAGATTTGGTTCCTGCCTTTAAAAAAAAAAAAAAAAACCCTAGGCAGCTGAGTGAGCCAGGGGCAGGCAGGTGCATTTGGCCACCTGAGGTTCAGCTCAGGCCCAGGGAGAGGATTCAGGCCTGTTTTACCCAAGACCAGAGGCTGCTGTCAAAGTGGGAGCTGGGGCTTCAGCTTCAGGAGGAAGCTGAGTTGTCCCCTAGTGCTGGAGACTGGGCACTGGGGAGACTGGGAGGCATTTCTGGCTATCTAGGGAGGAAGTGGGAGCCGAGGCAGGGAATGGAGTGGGGAGGAGTTGGTAGTGAGAGATGGATGCGCCTAATGCTCCTTCCTCCCTCCCACCCACTCCCTCTCCTCTCTCCTCTGCCTCGGTGATGTGTAGAAGAGGGGCCCAGAGTCAGAGAGCCTGGCTTGTGATCCGGACCCTTCCTCTCAGGATCATCCACTCTCTGGACCTGTTTCCTCTTCTGCAAAGTGGGGGTCCTATACTGTCTGTCTTCCCCATGGAGTTAGGAGAACAAATGAGAGATGCCGGGAAAACACAGCTGTACGGACAGAAGGCATCTCCATTAAACAGTTCTGTAACCTGCTGACTCAGAGCCGGGCTGCTCCGGCTCCTGCCCCACCAGGAAGTCAGAAGAGCCGGTTCCATCACTGACCTGGCACAACTGAGTTTTGGTTTCCCATCTGACAAGTCGGGGTGGTACCTATTGTCTTCCTTGATCATGAAGCTGTGCTTTAAATCCCAGCAGATCATGCAGAAGCCAGAGTTTAATGTATTGTTCATCATAATTATCCTCACAGCACAAAAGAAAGTTCACACTCTTGACCTGCACTGGAAATTCACACTATTGACGCTGACAATGCCCTTTATGCATAGCTGTGTCTCTGGCAGGCACCCTGGCCCTCCCCAGGTTCTTAACATCCTGGGCCACTGAGGACTCCACATCTCAGCACTCAATCACACACCAGCTGACTATGCTAAGTTAATGGGCTCCTGTCCTTTTGCTCCTGGAAACTGCCAACTCTTGGAATACATTGGGCTATGAGCAGTACAGACTGTCATTCACTAGCACTTAGTGCAAAAGATAGTGCATAGGTGGCACTCCACAAATGTGCAATAAATGAATTATGGGAGGGGAGTTGTTTTTTAAATCCTCACCCAATAATATTTCCCCTCATTTGTTGTTTGTTTGTTTGTTTGTTTGTTTTATTGACAGAGCAGAAGAGAAGGGAGGAGAGAGGGAGGGAGAGAGAAAGGGAGGGAGAGAGGGAGGAAGAGAGGGAGGAAGAGAAGGAGCGAGGGAGAAGAGAGGGACATCCACGTGAGAGAGACACATGGATTGGGAGATGCAACCTGCAACTGATTCTCTTGACTGGGATTTGAACCTGTGCCCTTGACTGGGAATTGAATCCACGACCCTTTGGTCTGTGGGCCGATGAGCCAACCTCTAACCAAGCATGTCAAACTTGCGGCCAGCGGGTGCATGCCTCATTAGGCATGTGGCCTGCTGGCCACAAGTTTGACATGCTTGCTGTAAGCCAAACTGGCCAGGGCAAATGAATTATGTTTTAATGTTCTTAACATTGCTTTCCCATTATACCTGGCCCAGGTCACCTAGTTCCGGTACCACTAACTACTTTTTTTGTTTAATTGAAAGCAGTAAGAAGTCTGAAGAGAAGTAGAGGGTCAGTGGCCCTGAATTATTGGAACAAAAGAGCCAGGATATGAATAGGCAGCAAGTCAGACCGAAAAGGAGTGGACAAAGCTTTGGAGTTATGAGTCCTAAATCTCAAGTTCATTTATTAGCTGTGTTCCTTGGGCTTCAGAACAAATCTCTTAGCTCCAATTCCATCATCAAGAAAGAAAGATTACTCCCTTACTGATTCACAGCAGGGGGTCAAGAACCGGATGCCATATGTGGAAACCACAATGTAAATTTTTATTGAAATGTGTGAGGTCAAAACCAAGGATTCTACTGCCTGCAGATTTCTCTAGCATTTCCTAATAGGGCCTGAAGAGGGCACTGTGGGCCAGGAGTTGGGGAAGCCAGGGTGAAAATTCGCCTTAGGTCCACCCCTTTGCTGCATCTTCCCACCATAGCTTCCCCCTGCCCCCTACACATGGTTGGCAAACACCCTACAACTCCCCCAATCTGCCCATAATTTTTTCCTGTTGAAAATTGCAAACATCCTCTCCTTTTTGCCTGTTTTTGGGAGCACAGGCTGATTTCTCTGTTTTGCTCTAAAAGCAGAGTCTCATTGCCATGTGCACTATAAAGGCCAGGACTGGAGTCCAGATAGTTTGTCACATCTTTTGCTGCCTGCACAGGTCTGTCTTGGGCACTGCTTTCCCCCCTGGGAGCATTATTTCTGGGAAGGGATTTGAAATTGGTCGTCAAAGTAAAGGATTAGAGCAGTAGGGATCAGGAATGGAGGTTGAATTCATGTATTCCGTGTCCCCAACTCCAGAGGAGCAGGGAGCAGGTAGGGATTATGTGGAAGGAAGAAGCCGAAGAGGAAGGGTGACTGCGGGTGTGTGTGTGTGTGTGTGTGTGTGTGTGTGTGTGTGGAGATTCCTGTTGCTTGGTCTTGGGCAAGTTACTTTACTTCTTTTTCTGTGCAATGGGAATGACAGCAGAACTTTCTCAGGGGGCTGCTGTGTAAGGAATAAATGAGGCCACAGAAGTGAGCTACCGAGCCAAAACCGGTTTGGCTCAGTGGATAGAGCATTGGCCTGCGGACTGAGGGGTCCCAGGTTGGATTCCGGTCAAGGGCATGTACATTGGTTGCGGGCACATCCCCAGAAGGGAGTGTGCAAGAGGCGACTGATGATTCTCTCATCAATGTTTCTATATCTTTCTATCCCTCTCTCTTCCTCTCTGTAAAAACTCAATAAAATATTTAAAAAGAAGAAGAAGAAGAAGAAGAAGAAGAAGCAGCAGCTTTTTCTCTGGGAAAGTGGCTTCTGCACTGTTGTCTACTGAGCCTCCTGCAAGTCTAGGGGCAGAATATTCATGATGACCATCCCCAGGCAAGGAAAGAGGTCAGCTGGATATAAAGGGGGTTGGTGCACTGAGGTGGCAAAGACTGACGCCTGGAATGTGGCATTAGCCGAAGGGGTCACAGAGAAGAAGGGGCGGAAAGAATACGCGTTGGTAGCTGCCTACAGAGGAGTAGCCTTGAATGGAACCACCTTATTGACCAGTGTGGGCAGAGCTTGTGGCCTTACGCCCAGTGGGTCAAGAGGTCAGATAGGCCATGCGAGGCAGCACGTAGGGCCCGACTCCCTCCACCTCTGGTTTCCCAGGCCCGCTGCCTGCTGCCATGATGGGGGTGGGGGGGCGCAGAGCCAGGGAAGTGGTGGGCTCCCAGGAAAACAGACACGCCAAGAGCCATGTTATGTTTTAATTTCTTGCCGGTGAGATTGAAAAACACACAAAACACACAAAAACATACAAAGCCAGGGGCCAGCCCCCATCCCATCCTCGTGGCTCCCACCACCTTCATTATCCGGGGGGGATCTTGCTGTCAGGGAGTCCCCCGTGGAGACCAAGAGAATCCATGACTTGCCACCTACATTCTCCAGTCCATCCTATCCCCGCGTGGTAGGTGCAAAGAGAGGCGTCTGCCCTCCAGCTTGTCCTGGCACTACAGTTCTGTAGGGCACGAAGGTGAGCTTGGTGCCGCTCCAGCATGGCACCGTCCCGAGTTGAAGCTGATCTGCTCTGAATTTCTCCTGCTTCTGGGCCTTAGACGGGCCCTGTGACATCCTTAGATCCGAGTTGAACTCTGGACAGTTCCTCTGACCCCTAAGATGTCCCCGCTGGTCCTGGAGTGTCCTGGGACAGGCTGGTGCTGAGCTGATAGCCCCTTGATGGGGGTCGGGAGTGGTGGTGTGGGAGACGTGGCACGGGCAGCAGTGGTGAGCAAGGTGGTGGATGTGCCCAGGGCAGGAGCACCTGATCACCTGTCCCCTCTCCTGCAGGCCTCCCCTGTGTACAGCTTCAGCTTTCCTCGCAGGAAGTTGGAGTAGATTCGGAAAAACTTGCACAAAGTATCAACAGTGAATGTTCGGAGTGGAACAGCAGTGGCCGCTGCATCTGGAAGGGAGATGGCTTCCTTCTGTCAAGGAGAGGATACAAGATTACTGCAGTGCCAGGGACCCAGGAGGGAGGTTGGATCCAGGAGAGGACTGGAGGGGGTGTGAGGAAAGTCTCTTTGGCAGGGCCCTTCTCCCATTTTACAGAAAGGACAGAGTGTGAGGGAGAGTCTATTCCTACACACCTGGCTTCCCAGCGCCCGGAGCAGGGAGGTGAGGCTGCGCAGGCCGCTGATGGCTTTGTCCACGTGTAGCTGCAGGGTCTCAGAGGTCTGGGAGGAGTTGGCCAGCAGAGCCTGGCCCCGCAGGATGGCTTCTGAGAGCAGAGCCAGGCCCTGCCAGACTTCCAGGGCCTGCTGCTCCACCTACAAGGAGCAGAGAGTTGGTGTCAGCTGGGCCCAAGCCACCCCTCATCCCTCCCTCTCAGCCCCCCTGAGCACAGAGCTGAGCAAACAAGCAGAAGGTGTGCAAAAGGGTCTGTGGAATGAATGAATGAATGAATGAATGAATGAACAGATTAACCTATTCCATTCCGTCCTCATCTTTGCTACTCCATTTCCTGTCTGTATCATCCTCCCTCCTGCCCTATCAAGTTTCCAAAATGAGACTACCCAAGAGGAAGGGAAAACGAACTCACCTCCATCCTCTTCCAGGCATAGAAGTTAACCTTGGTGTCTGGGACGGTGATATTCTCAGCGAAGCTGCAGCCTTCAGCACAGCCCATCTGAAAGCACAGCGCCAGGGAGTCAATGCCGCAGGGGCCCACAGGCCATAGCCCCTCCGGCTGTGGCCCTCACCCAGCTTCCAGAGGTGCACAGGGGCTACCGGTTTTGTCCGTTTTCCAGGCTTCTCCCTCCAGCCTGAACCCTGTGCCAGGAAGGAGCGCAGGTCCCTGGCTTTGGGAGGAGGCCCCCCGAGCCCCTCAAGGTGAACGCTGTGGACTGTCCCGGGAAGGGGTCTCACCGTGACGTTTTCAGCCTCCCGGGCCTCCAGGATGTACCGCTCCAGGACGCGGCTGTCACAGATGAGATGCGGAGGGGCGCCCCGGACGGGGAGGCCCAGAGGAAGCAGCAGCAGGGACAGCAGGAGCAGCAAGGCAGGGCATTCTAGGAGAGAGAGCCGGGCTTGGTGTGAGGCGGGGAGGGGAGGAGAGGGGTTCGCTTGGAGGGGCAGGTTCACACACCCCGCTCCTGGCCGGGGCTGGCTCTCCCAACACCGGTCTGCCCAGCGCTGCGATTCCGCCTCCGGCGCCTTCATTCAATCCCGCCGCCCGGCGCGCCCCACCCCCCGCCGCCGGCGCGCTCCGCTCCTCGGGGCCAAACTTCACTCCGGCGGAGGCAGAGGCTTCCCCTCCCGCGGGTCCCGCCGGCCGCCCCAGGACGCAGGTATCCGCTTCCTCCCCACCCGCCAGGAGCCGCTCCTCTCTCCCTCGGACCCCCACACCTCGTCCCCGGCTCCAGGTCCCATTCTGCCTTTCCCGGGGTCTCCCCACCGGGGTCCCCCCGAGCCCGGCCGACACGTGGAGGCTGCCCCACCCCCTTCGCCCTTCCGGGGTCCCTCGGCCGGTCGTGTGGGTCCTTGGACCCGGCCACCTCGGGGCCGGCAGTCCCCGCGGCAAATCCCTTCGCAAACAGGGGCCGGCGGCACTCACCGCGCGCCCCCATCTCCGCGCCCCGCCGGGCCGCTCAGCGAGCAGGGGCCCGCCCGGCGCCCGCGCCCCGCGCCCTCATCCCGGGAAGCTCGTGGGGCCGGGCCGCCCCGCAGGCCGGAGGAGGGGGCTCCCTGTCCCGGGGCTGCCGGGCCGGGGGGTCGGGCTGAGCAGGCGCAGGGCCGGCGTCCGTCCGTCGGTCCGTCCGGGGCGCCGCGCGGGGAGGCGAGCGGCGGCGGCGGCGCGGGGACTGCGGCGGCGGCGGGGGTCGGGGCTGTTATCTGCATGTGTGCGTGCGTGTGAGGGGGCGGCGGAGGCTGTGTGCGTGAGGGGTCGCCCGCGGCGGGGGCCATGAGGTCAGAGTCGGGGGCAGGACGCCTGGGTCGCGGGTTCGCCGGGGCGGGAGCGGCGTGGCGGGCGCGGGCGCAGGATCCCCTCCGGCCCGCCTGACCCCGCTCCGTGCGCCCCGGGATGGGCGGGACGCCGGCGCCCGGAGGAGGGCCGCTCCGGGAAAGGCTGGGGGAACCCCCCACGCCTCCCTGGGGGCACTCGGGGCTCGGAGCTGGAAGAAGTGCCCAGGTTTCAGCGAAGGCGCTGAGTCTGGGAGCTGCTGGCAGGCACAAGTCAGTTGCCTTTCTTCTCGCAGCACTTGTTCCAGAACCAGTGTGGCTCACGTTGAGAAATCGGATGGTGTATGGAGCAAGAAATGCGGGGATCTTCTCCCCCTCCTCCCTTTCCAGGAATCTGAAAGCCCAGGAACTGAACTTTTAGGGCACAAATCACACGGTCTGGTCTGCAGGACATGCACGCACTTCCACATCGCTTCTTTGTCCTGGGACACAGGTCAGCCTGGGTGGCAGAACTCTTAGGGACTCTGAAATGAAGCTGGCCCCGGAGTGAGGGCAGTTAGGATTTGCTTTGTGAACTGTAGGAAGCCCCGAGGCAGGAGAGCAATCTTCCTAAAGCCAGACCGAGGCTGGCTGCCTCCCAAACCTGAGAAAATGGCCTCAGCCCCTGAGCCTGTGTCCTCACCTGTCACATGGGTCTGAGGGAAGTACCAGGCCCACCTCCCGCAGGTTTCCTAAGACAGCAAAGTCCTACAGGTGGTTAGAGAAGTTCCTTCACTTCCTACCTGGTCTCATGATATTAGAGACATTTTATTCATGTGTTCAGTGCCTTCTTTAGGCAAGACACTCGACTACACACACTTTGCAAGACAAAAAGAGGTGTGGAGACCTAGGTCCCAGACATCTCCTGGATGGGGTTAGTAGCTTCTCATAGAGACAAGCTGTGTGCACAGGCAGTGTGTGTGTGTGAGGACTGGAGTGCACAGAGCTGAGCTGTGAGAGTTTGGAGAAGGGAAAGCTCCTGTAGGGGAAGTTGGGAAGCTCTCATGGAGGATTGGACAGGAGCTCAGCCTTGAAGGGCAGGCAAGATTTCACCAGGAAAAGATGTCAGGTGGGTATGGGAGGCCAGTTACGCAAAGGGACAGGAGGGTCAGGTGCACAGCCTGCGAAGGGGAGAGGTAGAGCTCAGACCAGAGTGCTGGTGAGGGAGGGGCCAGGTTCCTTGAATGCCACTCTAAGGAATTTGGCTTTTGCTGGGAAATGTTCATTCATTTATTCAAGAAGTTTTGTTTCACCAGCTGGTGAGGCTCAGTGATTGAACATCAACCTGTGCACCCGGAGGTCACGGTTCCATTCCCAGTGAGGGCACATGCCCGGGGTTTTTGGCTCGATGCCTACTAAGGGGCCAGCAGAAGGCAACTGATTATGATGTTGCTCATTGATGCTTATATCTCTCTATCCCTCACCCTTCCTTTCTCTCTAAAAATCTTTTTTTTTTTTTAAAGAAATATTTGTTTCTTCAAGAAATGAATATTCTGCTTTGGCCAGGTTGGTTGGGCAGCGTCGTCCCATACACCAAAAGATTGTGGGTTCGATTCCTGGTCAGGACACATACTTCTGTTGTGGGCTGCATTCCCAATCCCATATGAATGGGAGGCAACTGGTTGATGATTTTCTCTCAGGTATTTCCCTCTCTCTTCCCCCCCTCCCCCCGCCCTTCCTCTCCCTCTGTAAAAATCAGTGGAGCTAGGCTGGCGTGGCTCGGTTGATTGAGCATTGACCTATGAATCAGGAGGTCACAGTTTGATTCCCAGTCAGGGCACATGCCCAGGTTACAGGCTCTATCCCCCGTGTGGGGCGTAAGGAGGCAGCCGATCAATGATTCTCTCTCATCATTGATGTTTCTATCTCTCGTTCCTTTTCCCTTCCTCTCTGAAATCAATAAAAAAAATATTAAAACAGAAAAAAATTATTCTCTCTCATCATTGACGGTTCTATTTCTCTCTCCCTCTCCCTTCTTTTCTGAAACCAATAAAAATATATTTTCAAAAAAATAAATAAAACTAAAAATCAGTGGAAACATATCCTCAATGAGCAATTCTTAAAAAATGAAATGAATATTCATTCATTCAAGAAATCTATATATAAATGCCTATTCTTGGCCTGGACCTGGGGATAAAGCTGTGCATGAAACAGACGAGAATGCCTGTCCTGGTTGAGCTAACATTCTAGTAGAGAGGCAGACGACAAACACAAATATGAATAAAAGGGGATCTCCAATGAAGATAAGGACTAAGAACAGGCATAGAAGTGGCGGGGGGGTGGGGGGGGAGACCAGGAGTGTTAAAAGAAATTGCAATTTTAGATCAAGCAAGCAGGGATGCATGCTGAGAAGGTGACCTGGATGAAGAAGACCTGAATGAGGTGAGGGAGGGAGACATAAAGGGGTGAGAACAGAGCATGATTCAAGAGGGGTTCGGAAAGATGGAGAGGTTGGCGGAAGTAATGGGACCTGACTGTCTCCCACTCTGCTCTCCTGCCCTCGGCTCACCTCCAGCCTGCTTTGGGAGCCCTCCTCAAACCTGGGGTACGGGATGTGGGTCTGCACGCCCCACCATGCCCTCTGGTCCCAGTTTTCCTCTCAGCACCAGGCCGACTCCCAGCCCTTCTTGGCCTTCAGAACCCAGTTCTGCTTCCTTCCCAGATCCCAGCTGTGAGACAAGCACATGCACACTCACGTCCACACACGTCCGCACATGTGTTCTGTCCCTAACCCCCCAACCCCCAGGCTCTGCTCTCCCAGTCCTCAACCGACTCCTGCGTCACTGCCCTGACCTGAGCATGAAGAGACCAGGAACAGATGGGGGTGGGGTGGACACAGCCTGAAGAGGAGGAGGAGAGGAGGAGCCTCCTGGGCTGTGGGACCTGCTCCTCCCTCCCCTCTGACAGCAGTTTGCCAGAGGCCCCTACCTTCAAGAAAGGAAGGAAGATGGGTCAAGTGCACAGGTGCTGGGGCCTCCTGGACAGGGTGATGCTGGCTCCTCTGTGGCGTTCAAAGAGAAAGCTATGGCTGCAGCTTGGGGGAGAGGGGAGAGGAGAAGAGCTTAGTCCACCCCACACCCAATCCCTAAACTGTGTCATCCTGTTAGGAGGGCAGAGGCTGGCTTGGAGGACAACTTGAACCCATCTGTCCTCATCAGGGGACCCTGAGGATAGGGAAGAAAACAGGAAGTTACTTGGGGCTCTCCCTCCAACATTTACCAATTCACCATCTCCTGCCCAGCGCCCCCTCCATCTTCCTGCTTCCATTCCTCCGGTATGGTGCTGACTCAGTCCCAGAACCACTGCAGGTCTCCTCACTGACCCCTCCAGTTAACACCCACCCCTGCCATTAGACTAACTTTCTTTTTAAAAAATATTTTTATTGATTTCAGAAAGGAAGGGAGAGGGAGAAAGAGATAGAAACATCAATGATGAGAGAGAATCATTGATTGGCTGCCTCCCACACGCCCCCTACTGGGGATCGAGCCTACAACCCAGGCATGTGCCCTTGGCAGGAATCGAACCTGGGACCCTTCATTCTGCAGGCCGATGCTCTATCCACTGAGCCAAACCAGCCAGGGCTAGACTAACTTTCTTATTGGATAGCCTCATTTGGTCACTCCCCTGAGCAGGAATCTGCAATGGCTCTTGGTTGCCTCAGAACTAAGACTCTCTGTGTTCTGCCATTTACCGGCCTCTCCAGCCTGTTCTTCCGCTTTGTTCATTACACAAGCACAGTTAGATGGTTTTCAGCCTCCTGCCCTTTGCTCAGCCTCTGCCCTCCACGCGATCACCTGCCCACAGTCCCTCTCCTGTTCTTCAAAGACCAAACCCAAGCATTACCTCTCCTAGGAAACCTTCCCTGATCGCCCAGCAGGAAGTTGTCTTCTTCCTCTGTGCTGCCATCCTCACCTGTCTTAGGTCTCTCACTGGCAGGGCCACCGTGTACAACTGTCAAGGTGAGCACTGCACAACTCAAGGGGGTGCCATTCACAGACACTGATGGGAATGTACTCTCTGGAGTCATGCAGCACAGGTGCCCTGTTAATCAGAGCAGAGGACAGTGTCTGACAGGCCTTGTTCACTGTGGCACGCATGTGGCACTGAACATGTTTCCTGTTTATGGCTATCACTAGATGCCGTTATGTGGTCCCTCCACTTCGGACACCTCAGCCAGAGAGGAACCTAGGGAGGGGAAGTAAGCCATTCATCCGGAGAGTGCTTGCCAGAGCCATACCTGGACAACCTAGCCCTGAGATATTGGGAGCTCGAGAGACCTCCCTCCACTTCCTGTGAAGACAGCCACTGAGGCAGGATCTGAAAGGGGACCGTCGTGACCAGAGGATGGCGGGGGTGGAGGCAGGCTCTGTTCCATGAAGTCTTCCTGGCAGCCAATTCAGATTGGAAATCCAAGGAGAAGCAAATTTACAGCCCCCCTGAGCTATCCCAGACCCCAGGCAGCACGAAGCCCCAGCTGCCTGGAGCTGGGTGGGGGATAAGGGGGAGTGGAGGGCGGGCTCTGGGCCTCTCCTGCCCTGCTTTCCAAGCAGTTGCTTCTCAGCTTGACTCAGAGAGTTCAGCCAATGGCCCAGAAGACCTTCTGTGCTGGGAAGTGAGGTGGCCGAGG